TCTGTACATCACCACGCTCAAGGAGTCCACCAAGACGTTCGATGAGGCTTCCGAGGCAGTCAAGATCTTCCACCGCGCCAAGGCCGAGGGTGTCGAGCCCAGCTCGTTCCTTTACAACGCTCTGATTGGCAAGCTCGGCAAGGCGCGTCGCATCGACGACTGTTTGTTCTACTTTGCGGAGATGCGCGCCCTGTCCATCAAGCCCACGTCGGTCACTTACGGAACGATTGTCAACGCTCTGTGCCGAGTGTCGGACGACAAGTTTGCCGAGGAGCTGTTTGATGAGATGGAGGCGATGCCCAACTACAAGGCTCGCCCTGCCCCGTACAACAGCATGATGCAGTTCTTCCTGACGACCAAGCGTGACAAGGCCAAGGTGCTTGCCTACTACGAGCGCATGCTCGCCCGTGGCATCGCCCCGACCTCGCACACATACAAGCTGCTCGTCGACACTCACGCCACCCTCGAGCCCGTCAACATGACGGCGGCTGAGGCGGTCCTAGACCGCATTCGCGCCGCCGGCCAGACCCCGGAGGCCGTTCACTATGCATCGCTCATCCACGCTCGCGGCTGCAATATGCACGACATGGAAGGCGCCCGCCGCATCTTCGACTCGGTTATGAAGGACAAGTCGGTTTCGGCCAATGCCTGTCTGTTCCAGGCCTTGTTCGAGGCCATGGTGGCGAACCACCAGGTTGCCGATACGGAGCCCATCCTGGCCATGATGCGTGAGCGCCGCATTGACATCACGCCCTATATTGCCAACACCCTGATCCACGGCTGGGCTGCTGAGAAGGACATCGCCAAGGCCGTCTCGATCTACTCGTCTGTTGGTCGCGAGCGTCGCGAACCGAGCACCTACGAGGCCATGACCCGTGCATTCCTCGCTGTTGAGGAGCGCGACAAGGCCCAGGGTGTCGTTTCGGAGATGCTCCATCGCGGCTACCCGAGCGCTGTCGTCAACAAGGTGCTTGAGCTCCTTGGTGGCGGTGCCGGTCATGCCGACGAGGCCGCCGCTACCGTCGCTGCGCCGGTCGCCGCCTAATTTTCTTTCCATCTTTCATTTTGACTTATCGTTTCTATTTGTCTTTTCTCGCACAGCGTTGATTTTCATGCGGCGTTCTTTCAGGCCGGGCACGGGACGCAAGGAAAAAGGGTAACAGCCGGAGCGTTCAAAACAATATTGTTTTATTGTTGAGCCACACTTCGGTTCTTGGCTCTCTTCTCATTTCTTATTTTTTGGGCACCGGCTTGCTCTTTTCTTCCTTCTTTTTTTGATTGCGTGATGAATTTGGGGGTCACCTTTCTTCCCCCATGTCTCTTTTCATGATTCTCTTCTAACATTCCCCCCCCCCCCCCCCCCCTTTGTCTTACTTCAATCATGAACCCGGCACGGCTTTACGGAAGGGTAGTTTTATCTGCGGCGTTTATCTGCTGTTGGTTTTCTCGGCGTACGGTTTTTTATTCTGTACTATTACCCACATTTGGTTTGCTTTTGATTTTTACGGCGCAAAAAAGGGGTAATATTTTAGTATATTACAAAGGGGGAGGACACCAAAGACCTCCTACCCCCGAACGGCTTGGAACGGCGTTTTCAACTGCCCCACAACTTATAACCAACTCAACTCTACCAATATATACCTTACACCTTCGCGTGTACCAAAAATCAAGGACTAATAATACTATGTAATGTGACGTGAATGAAAGGACAATAGCAAAAGGCGTCGTAGAATATGTAATAACGGGCCGATCGCGTATTTGGAATTGTCTTTGTCATTTCTTCACGTTGTGCATGAAAGCGCCTCAGGGTTTGAACGTTCATAAATACGAGAACCTGGGAGCTGACGAGACGTGTTGTGTAGTAACTGTTTACAACTGCTGCTGTGTTAGGCTTTTCCGCAGGAATGGTGTCTCATTGGAGCCGGCGGCCAATCCACCATCAGCCGTTCCCAAAAATATCCAAGTGAGATAGTGCGAGGGGCTGCCTCTTCTTTTGGGGTGCAAACGTTTCTGTTTCTTCCCATGCAGCATAGTAGTCGTACGTTCCTGGTTAATAATAGTAGGTCATGTCTTGACTGTGGCTTGTGTATGAACGTTTGAGTCAAATGATATCTCCTGCCTGTCTTCCCCAATCGAAGTACAAAGTACAACGCACCCCGTCTGGCACATTGAAGGAAAATCAAGCGTGAGGAAAAGGCATACAACAAATGTAAAGTCCCTTTTTCGACTTCCTTAGGCAGAAGATTTCATCACAATCACAATGCGATGCGGGGCTAAGGCAGGGATATTGCCCAGAATAGGTTCCTCCTGCAGTGACTGGCCTCGAAGGAAGCCTCGATGACCCAGGCCAGGTGGGGGGGGTTGGGAGCTTGCAACGGATTCGTCGAAAAAAGGACTCAAGGGTCCCACCGTGACCGGGAATTTGAAAATAAGAGCAGGGGGTACCAGACCACCGGGTCGTGAACCAAGTTCAAGAGGTGGACGGCCCGATCCTGTCAAATACTCACAATTGTCCCCAGCCGATAAACCGCAAGTCGTTGACGGGACTTGTATCTAAGTTCTGTACCTACTGGGGTTTCTACCTGTCATGTTGAAGGTCTAGGCGGCCTTTTTTTACGGCGAGAATATGGGATACAGGAAATCAAAGCACGATAAGACAATGGGGAGTTTGTCAATGTATTTGCACTGTTGAGGGGTCGTAAGCCCAATTGCCGTGCCACACCACGCCATGCAGCACTGACCCGACAGACTGGGAAACTATAGCTGAAAAGGGAACTAATATAGGAAAGTGGATTTGCCGAAGCTCAACATAATGCGTCGCTGACGCCTGGCGGTGAAGCAGAAACCAACAGCCAAACAACCAAGAGTTTCCGTGTATACCGTTGCCCCCTAACCACCCTTGCATTTCCGTCCGTCTTTCCCCTCTTCTTTCTTCCTCATCTCCTCGATCAAAGACGTTGTGGCGCGAGCATCCGCCGCAATCTCGTCTGGCATCCTCGGAGGGCGATGGATGCACTGAAACAGGTTTTCCTTAAAGTCCAAAGCAACAAGTTAGAACATGCCGATTAAACAGAAATGGGGTTATGGAAGGGAAACTTGGGCAGTAAAAAATCAGACAAAAGACTTAAGACAGGAGTGGCACGAACAGGTACCAAGCAGGGACAACCACTGGTCCAGCCGCCGGCATTCAGAACCAAGGCATCGGTGTTTCCTGAATCCACAGGCATCATAGTGGGAGAGCAGATTTCGACCCGCTTCATATTGTCGAGGACGCAAGGCCGCTAGGAACGGCCAGGAATTATAAACGGTAAGAGAATAGGGCTTGAGATAGAGAGTTGGCGATGTGGGGGATAAACGTTTAAGCTAATGAAGATGATCCAGAAGAGGGCAGAAGATTCAAAAATAAAAAGGACCAGTCTTTCAAATGGAAAGGACCAGCGGCCTTTTATAAAGTTGTTTGCAAAAATCTGACTTGCAGTATCTCTTCCTCGCTTGCATCTTGGGATCAACACTGAGCATGTAGGCAAGGCACGGTGGGTGGTAGTTGGAGACATGCACCGTTGTTGAGGTGCGCCCCGGTCGGCATACTGATAATATGGATAGAGTTTATGGTTTGGCCGCAAAACTTCAGCGCGCGGTTTTATAAGCCACATAGTTACAAGGGATTATTGTTCATTTCCTAGCTACGGCCCCTCTCACGCAGCATACCAGCTTGACTGCAAAACATGTAAAGTGCCAAACTGGACGACCAATGCGCTGCCTTGTTTCCTACTATCCGTACTCTCTTCATAGGTAAATTTCCGTACAAAGCGATACTATTCGAGTTGAGAGCTCGAATCCTGTTTCATGTTGAGTTCTCTTTTCCGTACATTTTTGCACAACTTGTGCCACATGTGCCTACCCTGCGGTCGCGAAATGTGCCCCCCCTGCAGGCACAAAGTGTGCCCCCCAGCTGGCACAAAGTGTGCCATTTGTGCCATCATTTCTGACCTACCATTTTAGGTCGAATACTGTCCCATGTTGAGTTCTCTTTTGGCACAATTTGTGCCATATGTGCCTACCCTGTGGACGCGAAATGTGCCCCCCCCCCTGCAGGCACAATGTGTGCCTTTTGTGCCATCCTTTCTGACCTACCATTTTGGTGCCACATGACGCCTGAGGCCCAGCATAATCTATTTTCTTTTTCCCACTGCCTATTATTTCCCTCACCCTATTGTCATATTCTCCTGTCCCAAAAGACAATTGCGTAAGTGGCTGGGTGGAGGCCATATGCACACCACCGGAGGATGTCGATTGCGCGGGCCCAAATAGATTGGTCAGAAAGAAGGGTAAACAAAAACTGACTCCAAATACGTCTTTTATTTTATCTTTCCCTAAATCCTCGCGGTCTGTGTATAGCCGACGTTGTATTTCAGTCATCCCTAATCTTGTCGTCGTCGTTCCCGTCTGAAAACAGGTGCCTTTGTATGTCGTACGACGTTCGTAGACGTTTGTATGTGGACCGTTCCGTGCCTTTAGTGCCGTCTTAGGGTAATGTAGTCTGGGGAATAGAGCGCCCCAGCCCAAAATTGTCCTCTGGCGTGCACGTGACACTCTGTCTACTGACTAAGCCTCATGCTCTAGTCCGCAATCGGCAAGTACCTCTGTCGAAGACGTCCTACATCTACGCTGTAAGATTCAGAATGTTCAATTTTCGGCTTCATTTCTGGCTGAAAATTTTATCCTCGGATGTGCCCCTCTCCCTCCTATTTACTTTTTTCTTGTGCCTCGGCAGTACCTTTGCTCTTTTATCTTCTCACAACTTCAATTGAGCTGTCGAGCAGGTTTCAACAGACCGTGAAAAGAAAAAGAAAAGGGTGATACCAGACGAGCCCCATCACGTAGCTGTGGCCTTAAATAGCACACGCACACGATACCGACACATACTCTTCCATTATAATTAATTTTATTGTTACTATTATTATTATAATTTTGGCCACGACTCAAAAAGGTGTTCAGCCATGTTCCGCAGCGGCGTGACCATGGCAGCGAGGGCCGTCACCAGAAGCGCACCACCGATCGTTGACATGATGGCAGTTTTCGTCGTGGGACGTGGTATGGCAATACGGAAAGGCGGCACGCGGGGCCTGGCATTGGCACCTACCAGGATAAAAAACGCGGCGACAATAGCAGGTACAGGGGAAGAAGCCACTCGCAGGTTCCACGCCACTTCCACCCACAGCACAGCGGCTACAGCCCCGCCAGCGCCAGCACCGGCGACAAATCCAGCCGACGATGGCCAGGACACCATCCCCGGCACCTCCATTCGTGTATTCCGCACTGTAGCCGGCCTCCGTGTCTGGCGCCGCCAGCAGCTCCTGGCCGGCCGCTCGGTCGGTCTCGTGCCCACCATGGGCGCCCTGCACGAGGGCCACTTGGACCTGGTCCGCGCAGCCGCCCGCGACAACGACGCTGTCGTCGTGACCATCTACGTCAACCCGACCCAGTTTGGTGTCCACGAAGACCTGGGCAGCTACCCGCGCACCTGGGACGCGGACTGCCAGGCGCTCGCCGGTCTTCAGGCGACCTTTCAGCAAGGCACCAGCACCAGCAGCAGCAGCAGCAGAGGCAAGATCGAGGCCGTGTTCGCGCCCACGACGGCCGAAATGTACCCGTCGGGCCCCCCAGCCAGGAGATCAACGGGCCCGGCAGCTTTGTCACCATTACGCCTGTGGGCACGCGCCTCGAGGGCGCGAGCCGCCCGACCTTCTTCCGCGGCGTGGCCACGGTGTGCATGAAGCTGTTCCACATCGTGCAGCCGGAGACGGCGTACTTTGGCCAAAAGGACGTGCAGCAGACGGTCGTGCTGCGCCGCATGGTGCGCGACTTTGCCATTCCCCTGACCCTGGTCGTGGGGCCCACGGTGCGCGAGCCGCCCGACGGCCTGGCGCTGAGCTCGCGCAATGTGTATCTAGGCACGCGGCGGCGGGCCGTGGCCAACGTGCTGCGGCGGTCGCTGCTGGCGGCCGAGGCGGCGGCGGCCACCGCCGCTGCCACCACCAGTGGTCCGCGCTTGACCCACGACCAGATTCTGGCCGCCGCGCACCGCGTAGCCGACGAGACGCTGGCAGCGCAGAAGCAGCTGCCACCCCACGAGCGCGCCCTGTTTGAGATTGACTACCTGTCGCTGTCCGACGCGGACACGATGGAAGAGCTGGCGGCTGACCAGCGCATCGACCCGGCGCGAGGCGCCATTCTGAGTGGCGCGGTGCGCATGTTGCCCGTGGAAGATCCGCAGCCCGGCGAGGACCTCGGCCACAGTGGCGGACCGTTGGTGCGGTTGATTGACAACATCATCATCCAGCCGACAGAAGAGTAGTAAGGGCCAGTTTGGAGTGAGAAGGTACCATCGTTGGATCAGACCCTAAACTTGCACATAATACAGCGAGCATATGGACAGCAGCATTTTGTATTTGCTTATATGGAACAGATAATTTACAACCACGAGATATGTACACAAAAATATTACTAGTACCAAGAGCTACGGTAGCCGAATAGTGATGCACGAGCAGGTTGCACCAGGAGACCGCCACCTTTCCCTATGTTCACGCTCTATTCTACTATCTTTTCATATCCGCGCTGGTGGTGGCGTCTGTCGGTCAAGTGTCCGCCGCCGCCGCCGGCCTTTGCCCTTGCCGGTCCCGTCGCTTTCGCTGCCGCTGTCGCTGGCCGCACTGGCTGTACTGCTTGTGCCAGCGGGACTGGCGACACTTGTGTTTCCCGCCTTGACAGCCTCGTCAAAGAGGCGGGCGCCGACATTGTCCGCGAGTGCCAGCACGCGCGTGCTGACCGTAGCGCCGTCGCGCCGGTTTTTTCCCTCCCGGCGGCTGGCGGCGATCTTGTCTGTAAAGGCCCAGAGCCTGCCCTCGGGGCGCAGTTCGCCGCTGGTCGGGTCGCGCGGTGTGCGCCATTCCGGGTCGAGCTGCAGACGCGGTTGAGACGCTTTGGGGTCGTCCTTGGAGCGGACGACCCGGACAATGCCTTCTTCCTGGAAGCGCTGGTAGGCGTTTTTGAGCGTCTCCTTGTTGACAGCCTCAAAATACGAGAGGTCGCCCTGGTGGTACAGGGTTTTGCCGAGCTGAATCGTTAGTCCGTGCAACGTACATATCAACGGAGAGGGAACAGGCGAGGGAAACAAGGGATAGGTCACGTACGAATTGCGCAGAGTTTTGCGCTTTGGACACGTCGGTCCAGACGTCGTCTGTGACGCTGGCCGGCGGTGTCAAGCCCATGAGGGACACAGCGGCGAGCCAGCTGGCCTCGATGAAGGGCCAGATCAGGAAACAGTAAAAATCAAAGCTCTCTCGGCCCGCGGTGCGCTCGAGATCCGACAAGCCGACTTTGACAATTTTGCCCGGTGCGCCGTCTGCAGCCGCAGGCTCACGCTCCAGATGCAGCATGCCGTCGGCCTCGAGGCCACGCAGCGTGCGGTCCAGATTGGCCTCCAGGCCCTCGCTAGCAAAGATAAACTCACCGCGGAAGAGGGTCGATAGGAACATGACCTGGTCGTACAAGGCTTCGTACGGAATGTCCTGGTTCGACGGCCCGCCACCCTGCTTGATACGCGTGTACATGGCGGCGCTGACAAGGGCCTCGGAGATGAAGAGATGGATGGTCATGTTGCGGTAAAAGGAGAGCTGGAAGCGGTCGACGGCGTAGTAGACGGGCTCGGCGAGGCCGCCTATTTCGCCTACTAGATCCTTGCCGAGGACCTCCAGGGCGCGGTCGATAATGTCGGGCAGCGAGGCCGAGTGGAAGTGGGCGACGCGGCCACCTTTGGCGCGGATGCGCGTCGTCAGCCACTGGACGCGGCGGATGAGCTCGGACTTGCCGACGCCACGGCCACGAAGTGTCAGCAGCACAGTTCCGATCAGTGCGGTCGGCATCACAACAGACACGTCGTTGATGTCAGCCAGGACCTTGTAGCCAAGCGTGCGCAGCAGCTTTTGCCGTACAGCCGGGTCCAAGGGCGGCGCAGAGGGGTTGGGTGGTGGTGTGCTCGCCGACGCATCGGACGCAGCTGTCTCTTTGAGACCAGGGCCCGTTGCAGACGTGGACGTGGACTTGGTGCGGGACGAACGGCGGCGGCCTCGTGGTTGAGCAGGCGTGGGCCGTGGTGCCGACGGCTGGCCTGTGAGGCGGACGAGCTGCTCGTCCATAAAGCTGCGCAGGCTCCAGGGTTCGTGGAAGCGCACGTCGACGCGGCCGAGCTTGAGCGACAGCACGGACGAGCCACCGGTCAGGAAATCGGACAGGTTCTCGGCCTTCTTTGGTTGGCCCAGAAGTTCGGTGACATAGCCCTCGGTCTCAATGACCTTGTCGTACTGCGTGCTGACGGGGATGATGATGGTATCCTCGACACGGCCCGACAACAGACTGTCCAGAATGAAGCCCAAAATACCAAACTTGGGCGATAGGAGCTTGCCGGTGCGCGAGCGACCGCCCTCGATGAAGCACTCGAGGTTGAAGCCGCCCTGCAGCATCGTGTCAATGTACGTCTGCACGAGTGTCGTGTACAGCATGTCGTCGCCAAAGGAGCGGCGAATGTACATGGCGCCGGCGTGCTGCAGAAAGCTGCCGACCAGCGGGAAGTTGAGGTTGTCGCCGGCCACGACAACGGGCATCGCAATGCCGAGGCGGTAGCAAATCAGTTGCAGGCCGACGTAGTCGACGTGTGAGCGGTGGCAGGGCAAAAAGACAATGCTCTGCTTGGCGTGCTGGGCGCGCTCGGCGACCTTGCGCAGCATAACAACGTCCTCGCTGGCGACGTGGATGCCCTGGTGGTAGGCGCGCGTGAGGAGCTGCGTGACCAGGTAGTAGGCGCCGCGGATAAAGGTCTTGCTCTCAAACTTGCAGATCATCCTGTCGGTCCACTGCTCGGCGAGGTCGGCGAGCCACGAGGCGATCTGGGCACGCCGGCGCGTGCGTTTCTGGCCGTAGTCGGGCGCGTCGGGGGCCGGCAGCCATCCGGCGCGTTCTTCGCGGGCGACCTCGAGCTCGGCCATTTCGGCGATGCGGCGGCGCAGCAGCGGGGCGGACAGCACAGCCGTCTTCATGTTCTCGGAGAAGCCCGAGTAGAAAATGGGCTGGCCGATGACATTGTCGTAGGCGCGCCAGCCGGTGCCCGAGACGTAGAGCGACACCTGGCGCAGGAACTGCAGGGGTTCGGCGCGGAAGCTGTGCATGGGCTTCATAAGGGCCTCCTCGCGGGTGTCGTCCTTGTCGAGGGCGGTGCGGGTGGGCAGTTCGACGCCGCTGGGCTGAAAGGAGATTTTGTCGCCCAGGATCTTGATGTCCGGCGCCTCGTCGCGCGAGGGATTGTCGTCGGGTTCGGACATGGTGATGATGCCCAGGTAACGACTACGGCGTGTAGAGGAGCGGGAAGTCGTATGAACAGAAGAAATTGTAGAAAGGCGACGAGAGGAGAAGGTCTACAGCGAGGTAATGTGACGACCAAAGGGATGAGAAGAGGAAACGAGAGATGGGGTGACAGGAGAGACGAAAGGAGGACAAAAGAAAGGACTGCCGTCTTGGAACAACCATCACATTGACAATGCCTGGTTGTTAAAGTGCAGGACGCAAAGGTGCGGAGAAGAATCCATGCGGCCCGCAAGAATCTGCTGTGTCGGTAGCGGAATCAAGAAGGCAAATCAGGAGTATCGCGGGCATGGGGAGAGAGGAAGACACAACAATGGAGGTGGGCGTGGAGGAGATGGGAGGTCATGTGGAGTGCGTTAGCCTATTTGGTGGAGGAAGGAGCTAACAAGGCCAATCGAGGAAAGAGCAGCGAGCAACAAGGGGAAAGCCGCAGGAGGGATCGAGAAGGCGGCGCGCTACTACCGAGGCCTATTGCCCAATAGCTGGGCGGCTTTCAGGTGCTGCCAGGCTTTCACAGTAGCGCAAAGTACCAATGCAAGAAAAGTCCCGAGACCAACAGAGGAGTGCGTGTGTTGGCGAGGCTGGAACTGCACGACTGGATTGCAGCATGTGCTTGCAATGTGCAAAGTCCAATTGAATACTGGCTGGAATATTTTGCGTACGAAAATTTGCATGCGGTTAGACATGCACTACGACGTCAGCACTTTGAGTGTGAGGCTGCGCACTTGTTTTAGCGCTGTCAATGACACTGACTGCAGCGGGCCAATCCTTCTGCGCAGAAATTACGTGCAGGCTCAGTAATGTGAGCCAGTCTCCACTAAATTGTTGCAAACCTTAACGACGGCCAACGCACATCCGATGACAAGCGCAGCCTCGTCATACTCTACAACCTTTGTTCACGTTCGAGGGCACAAATTCGCAAATACTCCCTCCCTTCACAAGCGACACCCTCTTATATCTCCATCTCTCCCATCCCATGGCGACACCTACACGAGGTGCTCTGCACCGGCTGCTTGAGCGCGCGCACTCACCTGACACAGCCAACCAGATTTTCACCGACAAGATTCAGCACCGCGAACAGTTTCTACGACCAGCCTCGCCCGGCCGCGAAGAGCGTGCAGAGCGTGCAGAGCGCGCAACCAACGGTGGCTCTGCCACTACAACGACGTCGGCAGCAGCCGCTTCCCTTGCCGCCGCCGCCGCCGCCAACACTGCCGCCGAGCTCGCTGCAGCGGGTGCGTCGGGCCACAACGGCCGCGATGCCCGCCGGCGGAACCGTCGGATCAAGCAAGAACAGCGGCAGAACCGGGCCAAGACACTAAAACCAAAGCCGCTGTCGTCGCGGCAGAGGAGAGAAATCGAGGCCAGGGAAGGCAAAGAAGGCAAGGGGGTGGGCAAGGGGAAGAGGAAAGCACAAAAGGTGCTGTACAGCACCTTTGTTCCCCTCCACCGGCTGTGGTTGGGCTACATCCGCGAGGTGCTGAGCCCGCAGGAGCTTCGGACGGGCGGTGCAAGCGCGGCGGCCAAGCTGACGGCGGCCGATTTCCACGGAGCACTCGTGGAAGTGACACGGAGTGCATGCGTGGGCCGGGTGGGCACGCGCGGCATTGTGTTGCGGGACACGCGGTTCGTGTTTGAGATTGTGACGGCGACGAACGAGGTCAAGATGGTGCCCAAGGACGGATCTTTTTTCCGGGTCGAGATTCCGATCGAAGAGGAGGACGGCGGTGGCAAGGCGGTGGACGGCAGTACAGAACCTGCAACAGCAGCACCTGCGCCAGCTGCCCATACCCCCACTCTGGTCATCGAAATCCTCGGCTCACAGTTTATGCACCGGGCAGCCGACCGGGCCGGCCGCAAGTTCAAGCAGCATTTTTACAAAGAGCTGTGATGAGCATTGGCATGGTGGTGAAGCGTTGGGGAGAAACGGAAGAACGGGCGACAGGACACGCATTATGATACCCCCTCCCTGCGGCCAGAGTGCCGCTTGCATTATTCAGATAGACACAGACCAATGAACATGTACTTTTTTGTCTATTGTTATACGCAACTGTCTAAACTAGAATATGTCCCACAGACTGACTTTGCCGTCTTTGCTGCCAACGGCCAGCCAGTGCGCCGTGACGGCGTGGCGCAGACGGCGTTCCTTGACACTGGTGTCTCGTCGACTGTGTCGTGAAGCCAGGGCTGTTGAACCGCCGGTCGGCGCCAAAGCCCTTTCGTCTTCTCCTTTTCTTTTGCCTTCATCTTCACCTTCTCTCTGGGTGTCCGCCACGACAACTGGTGCAAATGCCACGGCAAAACACCCCGTCTGATGCCACTTGAGCACAGCAACCTCCGTCATCGTCTGTGCCGTGTACACGCGCACTCTGGCGTCCCAGCCAGCTGTGGCAAACAGGCGGCCATCGTCGCGGATGCGCAGGCCCTGCTGGCCTGCGTGCTTGGTGTTGATCACTGCGAGAGGTTGTGTCTCGACTTCGACGGGTGCCAAGGGCGTCGCTGCTCCTCTGGTGGGCGGTGCATTGGATGGCGAAGGGGGCGACGCTGCCGCTGCCTCCTTGGCGAGAGCGGCCGAGAGCAGAGACACGGGCTTGCCGGCCAATGTTGGAGGTGCCGGTGGCGATGCAGGGGATGCACTTGGTAGTGTGGAGGCTGGGACAGCAGCGGCCTTTTTTGGCGCTGCCGGTACACGGATCGGATGCTTTGCGACCACGGCATCCGCGGCCGATGTCAGAAAATAAGAACGGTCGGGTGCGACGTCCAGCGACAAGATCGGCTGGCTGTGCGGCTGTGCGCGGTAGACAAGGTCGGCCGGTCCGTCGGCGCCTTGGCGGAGCAAGGCGGCCACAGCCACGCCGTTTTCAAAGGCTGCAATGAGCACCAGTGTTGGCTGGCTGTCGTCTGTCGCTTCTGTGTCTGTGACCGGCGCATAAAACAGTGCCAGGGCCATAATCATGCCCTCCTTGGTGCCCAGGCGGACTGTGTTGATACGCCGCTGCGACGGAAGGTGGTATATGTCGGCTGCTTCGAGGGTGAGCGTGTTGGGCACGGCCACCAGCCGTTCGGTCGGTGGTGTCGATGTTGGTGTCAACTGTTTGTCGGTAGACGGCATGCTTGCTGCCGTTGCATGCGTCGTCGCGGCCGTCACAGCCGCCACGCTGCCCACCAGACCGCACCAGGCAAACGCGCAAAAGTTCATCGTGTTGACATCGAGCACGTGCACCATCCAAGGCTGCGGGTGGGATGCCGACGACGCTGCCGAAGACGGCGTCGATGAAGCCTCCAGATCCAGCGGAAGCACCGTGCTTAGGCGCGCCTCGTCGGCCACGCCCACCTGCCACACCACCAGCCGGTGGTCCCGGCCGTGGGTCACGACCTGCCCTGCATCGTCCCAGGCGGCAATGCCCAGGATGCTGTTCTTGTGGGCACGCCACACGCCACGGGTGCGTACAATGGCCAGGTCCCAGAGGGCGACGTAGCCGTCGCTGTCCCCAGTAACGAGACGCGTGTCGGCCGTCATCGTCGCTCCGGCCGCGGCCGTGCGGTCCAGCCGCATGAAGACAGCTGCATGGACCTGGGCGCGGTGGCCGCGCAGGATGGCCGTAGGCTGCGCGGGCGGCCGAGCCGCAACAACAGACGTTGACATTGAAAGTATGGCGATCTTTTTGTTGGGCAAAGAAAGGTGTTGTCAGCGGACAGTCTATGCTTGGTCAAACCCCAAAAACGGTCTTATTAGCATTAATTCCAGAGACGCCTGTAGCGTGTCAGTGGATGCCACTCAATGTCGCCGAATTTAAGGTCACATGGTGATCTGATATTTAAATGATGCCAGTTTCTTTCATTATGCAAATTCAAGTTGTTCATTGTTTTTTTTTTTTTTTTGGACGTTTTGCCCTTCCTCTTTTGCATACAATGCCGCTGGGGTACCTTTCCTTTTAATTCCGAACTTTGGTCGATCAGTCATCAGCAAATCAGAACGCAAACATCTCTTGTAGTATAGTGGTCAGTATACGGGCTTGTCACGCCCGGGACCCGGGTTCAATTCCCGGCGAGAGAGCTTCGATAATTCGGTTTCTTTTTTGTTTTAGTTCTTTTGTATTACTGTATACTTTTTTTCTACGCTATTTTTTTATTGACAGTTTTATTGATTTTTTTTTGATAGCCGTAAAGATGCTTCATTTTTTTTATTCAAATAGTTCTCGTTTACTATGAGACCTTTCAAGCATAATGTGATCAAAACCAACAAATACTTGTCACATATCCTCAGATGTCCATAGTTAGACAAAAGGTTTTATTTTTGCAAAAAATGTAAAACAAATCTAAAAGTCTATATTCTATTCATCACGATTTTTTATCTAACGACCAGCCTTTATGTACCTTATATCGATCCACCTTGTACAGTCGCAATCTAGAATTCATAACTCTGTCATTTCTCCATCAATGTACTTTGGCTCCCAGCTCCCGCATGATCCATTCGTAAACAGCCCACTGGACAGCGTTCACGACAAACGCGCGCGCACTGCAGACACCGAGGCCCCTAAAAAAGACAGACGTGCCGCCTTCACGGTAGGCGATCCGGGTGATTTCAAGCGTCGACAGTCGGCGGGGCTGACGGGATGCTGTGGAAGTCGAGCCGAGGAGAGGTGTTGTAGAAGTAGCAATGGTATTTGGAGATGCTGCCGCCACGGGCAGCAGCGCCTGGGCTTGTACGCGCGTCTTGACCACATCCAGCGGGAAGACGCTGGCCCAGGTGACGACACCTGCCAAGCCGCCACACATTAACGTCGCAGCAGCGGAGGGGGTCGTCGAGGCAGACACGTCGACATCGCGCCCGCCCTGCTCGTACCGCCGCCATGCATCCGTGGCCAGCAGGTACGACCAAAAGTAGAAGCCGTAGCCGATGCTGTCGCGCAGGGCCGTGACGGAGCCGCCAAGAAAAAACCCGCGCAGGCCCTCGGCACGCCACACCTGGCGGGCAATGGACCACGATGAGGGAGACTTGGAAGGCGCTGCCTGGGCCTGGCCGGGTGTCTGGCTGGCGGAAGGCGACGATGCCGACGGGACAGGGCCAGCCAGTGCCAGCTGTGCGCGACACTTGATCAGCTCGGTGGGGGCGCTGACGATCCATGTGGCCAGGCCAGCAGCGGCACCGGCGACCCACGTCGTGGCGGCGCTCGTTTGCGGCGGAGGCGATGCGGGCAGTTCTCCAGACGGCGACAGAGGTGTGCCTATCAAAAACGTCTCGGCCTGCCGGTAGGACACGAAGAGCAGCGCATTGAGGGCGCCATAGCCGAGGACGGGCGCTGCGGCACCGGTGGCAAGCGCAGCCGTGCGCTGGAAGAAGGAGGGGCGTGCTGCACCCGAGCTGGCGGCACGGGGGCCGGCAGCACCTGAACCCCCCAATGGACCGAGCCGGGCATCGCCCCCCGCCTGAAGACGGACCTTGACGAGGTCGAGCGGGTTGCCGATTAGGATACCGGCCGCGCCACTGATGTAGCCGGCCCAAAAGTCGGCGGACATGGCGGTATGTGCATGTGCGCGACAGGAATGTGATGTGTTAACCGCAAAGGTGGGAATGGCCGATTTAAAGCGAGGCAGGTTTTTAGGCCTAGTGTCGGAGTTTGTTTGACTCCTCGATCACAGGCCACAAGACAGTTAATGTTTGTTGTTCTAAAGGTCGCTAATTTGACAAACGCGGGGGCCACTTATCTGGCGTAGATCAGCGGAAAGTCTACTAATCTACTCTGTTGTCTCGAAGCCCCCTAAAAATGTATTTCAAAATCGCCCAGGTTATTTCAATAGCAATTGAAAGTCGAATATAAAAAGGGCCGTTCACAAAATAGAATCGAAAGTCGACGCGACAAAGATAACAAAAATGGACCGCCCTGGGACTCGAAACCAGAATCTTTACCGCCGGAAAGCAGCGCCGTATCATTAAGGCCACAGGGCGGTGCTGTGGCAAAACGCCAAACAATCAAGACTGTTGACTGTCGTACGGGAAGCGCAAGACAACTTTGGGACTGCCGTGAATTAAAATCTTTATGCATTTTTATTTTTTCAGAGTAGTTAACTTTGGTTGGTGTGGGAGGCAGAGTGCAATGTAGCACGTCGACCGTTCTCGCCAACTATCCAAGCCCAAAGTGAGTTGTCCTTCTCTTCACAATCTCGGACCGACGACACTGGGCCAGGTGGCTTTCCCTTGATCGCTTGGCTTGCCTCATGCGTCCTGGTCCATCTTCTTCTTCCTTCACTGGCTGCCAACAAGATCCCTCCCCTTCCTGCTTCGAATGTATATGTATAAGAATAGAAGAAACGTGAGAAATAAACAAAAAAAACGACTATGAACAAAGGCTGGAACACAAACAAAGTTTAAAAAAAGGACGTCTTTGCGCCCAGCGCGCTGATGAAGAAGGGAAAAAGACTAGATGACGCACTATAGACAGGAGATATAAGGAAAGAATGCGGAGTGAACGTGACGGGGAATCGAAGAACAAGGAAAGAAGTCTAGAACAGTAGAAAAGAAACTAGAGAGGAGGCTGTCTCTGGGTTGCAACGGACAACCTCCCAAACTGCACCGTCTAGAAATTCTCCTTGCCCCAGACGAACGAGAAGCTATTGAACAAAGAGTGGTTAGCAAAATTTCCTGGCTGGTTGAAAGTATGTATTACAAAAGACGGATTAGACGTACCCAGGCTCGCTGTACTTGTTGCAGAAAATGTGCAGTGTGCTGCCGAGACCCTTGGGACCGCAGAAGAACACACCCGCCTCGGCAGGCGTGTGCAACTTGCGAATGCCCCGGAAGATCATGTCCCAGTTAGGGCGGCCGAAATTGGTCGGCGCGCGCAGACCCGTGATGGCGTCCTTGTCTGCGTTGGCATCGTTGATCATGATGTTCGTGGCATCGTCAATCTTGATCTTGGCCGTTAGGTACGTGTGGATCTCAATTCGGTTGTCCACATCCTGCGCCTCAATGGCCAGCAGCAGCGACCGGAACCACTCAAACGAGCCGAAGTCACGGCAAATCCAAACAAAGTACACCTTGGACAGGCGGGTCTTGGACTGGGGGTAGTTCATCCGGTACCATATCGACTTGAGAATCGATGCAAACGGCGTGACCCCAATACCGGCACCGACCAGCACCGACACCTCGTACTTGAACACATCCTCGGATGCCGAGCCGAAGGGTCCATCAACATAGACACGCGGAAGGACGCGCCGCAGCGCCGGGTCGACGTCGTTGTTATCGCCGTTGACACCGACCACCTTGGACGCATCCTTGTCCTTGCGGTCGAACTCGCAGCCCAGAGCCTTGGCCACCTCGCGTGTGAAGTCACCGACAACACGCATGTGGATGGAAATGTAGTCCTCCTCCGGCGCGCTGGTCAACGTGAACGGGTGGTACTGCCAGATCGATACGGCCGGGCAGCTGAAGAAGATGTACTGGCCCGCACGGGTCTTTGTGTGCTCCTTCTTGATCTGAATCTCACACACGTTGCTGGGGTGCTGAATGACCTTGGAAATGTATGTCTTGTGACGGCCCCGAAGCTCACGCGCAACACGCTCTGCCAGGTAGATGAAGCCACCGTACATCCAGTATTGCCAGAATACTCCGACTGCCTGAGTGCCGATTGAGACACAGAATGGCGCGACATCGGGCTGAATCATGCAGAAGGCACCGTGGATCGACCAAAAGAAGAAGAAGATGACGAACATGTGGTGCGTGTACCAGAAACGCTCGTAGTTGGCACGACGCGGCTTCTCAACTGAAGTAAGAACCATGCCCATGAGCGCGGTCAGCATCGTGTATCCAGTCCAGCCAGGGCCAGATGTAAAGTTGGCGAGCAGAAATCCGTAGAAACCGAGGTTGTTCTTGGCAGAAATCTGGGCGAAGTTGTTCCAGTGAGCGATCGTGTGGACCCAGGAAAAGAAGACGATGGACCACGCTGTCGTGATGTGGAACGTGATGTTCTTGTCGAATTGAATGATGCCATTCAGAGGCGTTTGGCGGGCAAGCGAGATGAAAGTGCGGCAGACGGGGAACAAGATCAGGGCCACGTCGAAATGCAGAACGAGGGCGGCGGCACGAGCAATCATGTATGTCGGACCGAAGACATCGCGAGCGTTTTGCAAGCTGTCTTTCCGTGCATAGTTGACAAAACCAAACGCAAACACCATGCCGTGAAGCAGCATGAAGACAAACACAAAGCTAGATGTGGTTCAGTTAGTATTATTCACATGAGCGTCATTTCGGCGAAAAACAAAACCAAAATCGAAATCAAAAGGACAGAAACCACAGCGCAGGAGACGTACAATCGACGGTAGCCTTCGTTGATCATCCAACGGTCAAACTTTTCGCGGTTCGTCAGTTCCTTTTGCTTCTCCTGGGTCATCTCACCCGAAAGAAGCATCCGTGTTAATGGCGTCCATCGTGACCGCTCTGACTGCTTCTCCCGGTAGCCACCGTCGTAATCGTTGTAGCCGGACATTGTCGCCGGTTGAGATTCGTCGGGTTCTCGTCAGGTGAAACTCGACGGCTGTCCTTCTGAGCAGAGCGTCCCCTTCCTGGTAAAACCCCAAGTAGTCCACGACAGTTAGGTTCCGCTCGGGGAGTCCGTTCGAGTTTATTAGTTTGCAATGTTGATGCGAGCGTATCGAGTATTGTCGTGAGAATGAAGAAGAATAAAAGTTGTTCAGAGCCTGCTGAAGAAGATCGACTATTCAGAAAAAGGAGCGTAATCGGCCTGCGGAAGTGAATGTACAATCGATCGATTAAAAATGAACGAATTTCGAGCCTGCGAGGAAGAGAAGGAGCCGCCGAGGAGAAGGTCAGATGTCAGCGGTAGGCAGCAAACGATGCGGCGAACAACAGTCTCTCGCCCTCGAAGATGAAGGGAGGACAGAGACCAACGCAGACAGAAATCAGAAATGGCGATGATGACAAAAGGAAAGAATGGAAAAAGGGAAGAAAAGGGAAGGAAAGCAACGAAAGAGGGGAAGGAAGGAGAAAAGACTGGCTTCGGTGTGGATGCGTGCAGAAAGAAAGGAGAGAAGAAACAAGAAGGGAAGAACAGGTGGCAAGGAAGAAAAAGGAAGGGAAAGAAGACAGGAAGGAAAGGAGAGAATGGGTGGATAGGGGAGATCGAGGGAGTGTTATGAGGAGTGCCAAGCGTTTGGTGCTTCAGAAACATAAGGTGATTTTTGTTGTATGTCGTAGATCATACCTCGAGACAATGCTTGCACCCGGCGGCTGTTGTGATTGGGGACTGGGATTGGGTGTCTGTGTGAGGGACATGCGAGATGAATTTGCCTGGGCCTGGCCACAGCCTTGACCGTGGTTTTCAGAGTGACTAGGGCCACACGACAAGGAATACGTCGCTGTTTCTATGTCGTTCGATACTCCGTATTGTTGTTTTGGCTTTGCAATTTTGTGGTTTTGCGACTGGGGTCGTGGTGCTTTGGAAGTGGATATCCTGTCTTAAGCCCCGACAGGGCGTTCGATGCCGTGGTATGAGTAATGGATTGCAACGTCCAAAAGAAGAGCCGTGACAAACTAAAAGGGGCGTACCGTTGCACCGTAGGGAACCGAGAAGAATATTGGCTGCACGGAAGTAAAAAAAAAAAGTATGAGAAAAGTGACATTTAACGCAGGAGAAAAGACCGAAAAAGTGATAAGAGAGGTGGCTTGTAGACCATGGAGTAAACAAACAGTCAGACAGCAGCTTTGGAATATGCCAAACAGGAGAAGTCGGATGCTATTTTTGTTCACTTGGAAACCCTGTCGTGAAGGCAAGGTGACGAAGAAAAGGGGCATTAGACAGGGTGTACGCGAAATGGATGTATCGTGAGAAGCAGAAGCACAACGGCTGCAGAGAAAGAGCGAACGCTACCAAATGACATCCGAGTGGTGTTCAGTTTTTAGGGGCTCTTGCATATATTTTGGCGCCAGGAGAGAATTGAAGGCCTGTAAAAATGGCAATGTTTGCCGGGGACGGAAGGAGGGACCGAGTGGAACGAATTAACGCAAAGTTAGAGAAAAGGATCGAGAACAGGAAAGTGCTGCCAAAGAAACACACTCATGAAAAGGGGGAAAGAGCAATGCGGCCACAATACTGCTAGCTGTTGTCACGGACGCTGAGGACGAAACAGACACAGCCAAGTTGGAGCTTGGACGGCTCCATGGGATAGGAGTAAGATACATGTGCGGGTCGTAGGCAAGGGATTGTAAAGTGAGTATTCGTAACTTCGTTACAGCATCTCAGCACATGGGTACCTCGATTTCGAGAAGAATGGACATTGTAGATGAGAAACCGGTCTTTTCAAAACAGCATACCTTTTCCGTGGGCCTTGTCATGAGAGACAGACTGTACAGCTCTAGGTTTCAAGCTTGTAAGAAGTCTGTTAGGAGAAAAGGCTATCTAGTGGGGTAGCAGCAGCGCCTGGCGGCATTCACATAAAAATCTTCCAAGCGGCCAGGTACAATGCAAACGTACGTCGTAATACTGGTCGGGCTGTTGAATTGAAGTAAGAGCAGTACGCGTCACTTATATCTAACGCAAAGGCCGTTTAAAAGCATCGTGGCCATGGCTGACGGTAATAGAATTGTTTTGACCAGGGCACTGAAGAGGATGACACATTGCCATCATCAGCGTTTGGGAAAACCGCAGAACCTACAGAAGACGAAGAAGAGGGACAGACGCGCATATTACAGGATTGGCGCGCACCCGGTCGCATTAGGTGGGTAATGGCGCCATTTTGACAATGTGAAGCGGCTTGTGAAGCTGTTTGAAGGCCGTGATGTGTGAAAGACCGCGAATACGTGAAGGGGGAGTGTAAGTCGTGGCCAAGTCAAAACGTCTGCTTTTGGCTTCGAAAGTGAAGGAGGCCGTTCCCATTGGTGGATGGGCCCCACCTGAAGCGTCGCAGGTCGTTTCGTCAGGGGCTTTCTGCGACAGGAGGGGCGGGACACTGGAGGGACGCGGGCCTGGCCAGACCCTGCCAAAATAGCTGGACAGTGACAGGGTGGGGCCCGCGCAAGCTGGGGGTTAATTACCGGTCGGCCACAGCACAACCAAAAAGTGCTGGACAGGACATCTCCGAGCATCGATAAGTTCATCGTGTTTCTCAAATAGTCACAAACAGCCACCATACGTGTCGACCATTGGTACTCGTTCTGCACGATACCTGCAGCTTTTCATGCTGGAGGGCACAGATGAAGGGAGATTTTCGTTCCACAGACACCACCTAGCCGGCGAGAACCAAAGGATCGAGACTCATTGCCCAACTCTGGGACCATTTATTGGCCGTTGACTTTCTATTGCTCCGGCACTTCTCTGCCGTCTTATTTTTCCTATTTTATATATCTAGAGCAAGCGATGTCGACTGCGTAGAGTAGCTGTACAAAGTTAACTAGTTTTGTACCCTTTTATCTACGTTTAGTATACTCCGTACGAGTGAGCTTAACGAATCGAAATAAAGGCAGAAGGAAGGCAAGGATGAAGAGAAAAACGAATGTTCTTATATCGCATTTACGTATGGCAAGAACACCACTGACTGCAAATTCCATTCTACTAAATCTCTCTTAAACTTGCCAAGTTCACAGGTTCGCTCTCAGCTCTTGGCATCTTCTCAAGAACACACCCCGGAGGTCGATCTCTAAACATAGAACTGAAAGAGACTGGAAAAGGAGGTGCGCCTCCTTTTTTATGTTTGTTTTGGCCGCAAAGCCACAGAAACATGCCTGTACCCCTATTGTGTTCTGGCTTTATGGGAATACCCATGCTTGTTTTGACAGCAATTCTACGGAATACTTTGGTGACAATTGCTTACTGGACGGCTACAATCAGCCACAGCTTGTGACTTCAAATGGAATTTGAGAGGTAATGAATGTCGAGGTTACTCCTTGTATTGTCCTCCTTGTGCCGTACTTTGTGAAGTATGGCAAACTTGACGTCTGCCAAGGCATGGCACAGCACTGGCTGTGCTAATCACGGATGAGATGCGTAGAATTATTGTGTATCCTGCGGTAAATACAATGTCCACGGGAATCGTGTATATGGAACGAAAGTGTTGATAATCTACGGATTGACATTGCCATACATAGAACCCAATTAATGTTATGATTCATTCCCAGAGCAATACTCATATCAGATTATCTAAATTGCTTTATTTTGAAACAGTGTCTAACACAAAGAAGCAACGTGAAGTCGATATTTGCAGCAACGGGGAAGGAAATAAGAGAAATGGGTCCGAACGTATAATATTTGCCCTTCAAACGTATGAATGCAATATCGAATACCACACACGATAGTAAAGAACCACAAGCAACCCGGCGCACATAGACATTGAATAAGAAATTTGGAGGTGAAGGTGTATGAATGAATGCTAACTGCGTGTGACAATGCAATGATTGAGTAGTAGTATTTATGAAAAGGAAGTAAATTGGGAAGCGTCGCGTTGTGCATTCATGGTATCGTCGTCTGTCCGTCGTCTCTCCTTAGATACCTGTTCCCCAGCCGTCTCCTAGTAATTCGTACCCTTTGCTCTTCCTGCTGCCGCCCATCGTGAAACCGGTATCGAAAGTAACAGCAGTCTCCAAATCCGAATCACGGCGAGCGCAACAATCCCGGAATGATATATAAGAAACTCTTGTCACAGGAAACAGAGCCAGAAAAGCTCTCGCATCGCTTCGCCTTTCATCTGCTTGTTATCGCATGATCGTGACTCGCATACTCCGATGCACCCAGAGATCGTTCTCGGCGTAGGTCGGACGGGTCGTCTAAGAAACAGTAGGGAAGAGGTCTCTGCGTCTAGATGGCGTATTTACGGGTCCACTCGCGCGCGGTCGCCTCGTACTTCGCCCGGTCAGTCTTGTACACGTGAGCAATCTCAGGCACAAGCGGGTCATCCGGGTTCGGGTCCGTCAGCATAGAGCAGATGGACAGCAGAACTGCATTGTCGTTAGCTATCTGTCTAGAGCATAGAAACAATGTGAAAAAGCTGGTTTGATGAGCGTACCTTTTGAGATGGTCAAGGCCGGGCTCCACTGGTCACGCAGAATGTCCAAGCAGATGCTGCCGTTAGAGTTGATGTTCGGGTGGTAGATGCGAGTTGTGAAGTTGACCTTGGGAGGCTTGAAAGGGTAGTCTGTGGGGAAGTGGATAGCGAGGAAGAAGACACCGCCGGAGTAAGGAGAGTCACCCTGTCGCATGCTTGTTAGTACGCTGATTCATTCTGACGACGTTCAAAGTTGGCGACAGCCAGGGAGAGGTTGGCGTCAGCAGGACGTCATAGTTGTTGTTGGCGAGGTCAAACTCCTCCGTCGACATATATGCCACGGCCCAGACAGCTATGCTCCGAACTGTGGGCTAGGCATACGGACGCATGGGCAATTTGCCGTGGCAACATGGCGGAAACAGTTTTACCAGACCGCACAGATACGACGCCTGCAGACGAACAACAGCTGGCGGAGGTTCGCAAAGTAACTTACAGGGCCCATAATTGTTGCTTGCCAGTGGAACTGCAATTTTGTTAGCATTATGCTTTCTTTGAGGCATCGTTCTTGCCATCCCATCGACCTCTTCCAATCCCTGATCCAAGGCCAGGACGTGTCTGCTGGCAATGGCATTCGGCGAGAGGACAGGATGGGATGCCAAGAGCGGAGCCAGGATATAGATAGAAAAATCTACATACCAGATCTTCGCCAACCGGACCAGCCGAGCAAGACGAGGGCGGATCACTATAAGATTGTTAGTTCCTGTTATTGGAGTAAAAAAGAGTCGCGAGACACACTGTGCCAGCCCCAGATGGAAACAGATTGGCGAAATGATGTTTGCGCCAGTCTCAAAAGTATCGCCAATCAAGTCTGTGCTCAATAAATGCTAAAAAGAGTTGACAGCAGTGATAACGGTGATGATGACGAAGGTGAACGGGCAGGTGAATGGACAAAAAGCCCCGCGCACGACTCAGCCCCACCTTGGAAGCCTTATTTTCGGGCTATCCGGGGTGGGGAGAAGGACGAATGCAAGGTGTATGACCGGGGATGGCACGAGGGCCAAAAGAAGCGACGATAAAGAGGATAAGGAATCCGGGGAAGGAGAAAGAGAAGAAAGACGAAGAACGTACCGGCCGAGGTCCGCGAGTTCCTTGTTAATGCGCTTCAAGGCCATTGTGAAGTTGTGATGTGATGAAGGAAAAGGGAAGAGGTCGGCAGCGTGGGTCGCAGCCTGTCGTCGATTCTCAGGTCCGTGAATGGGCGTTGACGCGCTCAATATGAACCTCAAGGGTTGGTGGTATGATCGCGTTTGTTGGTATGACGGCGACGAAGATATGGCTATCGTCAAACAAGAGGGCTGTTCTGAACGTTATATAAGGTCAGTATGGAAGCTGGGAGAAGAGTGGCGAATGTTGACACTTGTTGGCGGCTGGCAACGGTGTGAGGGACCAACAGCAAATGACAACCAGATAGAAGATAGAAATGGGGGGGAAAGGAAGTGAGGCGTTGTATGCAGACAGCAAAATGTGGATGGTGATGCGAGGTTGCGTGAGGATCAACAAACTTACCGATTTGTGAGGGTGGTTGGAAGGAAAGAGAGGAAGGGAGAGATTTGGTTTGGAAGCGGCGAGAAGAGAAAAGAAAAGAGGGATGGTTTTTTCTAGGGAAGAGGTTTAGGAAGAAAAAGAGGGCCTTGGCCGCTACAGAGGGGGCAAAGACCGCCGAGGCTGGACAATGACGGTCTCTGTAGGCGTTAATGGAGGGGGAAGGAGGGAAAGAACGACCCGCCGCCCTGTGTCCGGTGCGGGTCACCTTCCTTCTTCGCCAGCGCCTGTGCCTCATTCAGTCTCCCACCGCCCCTGCGTTTCTGCCTCTAATTGTCGCCTGGCGAGCCGCTGCATGACCCCTGGACCAATCACCTGTTGTCAGGCACCAAGCTAGCCCGCCAATGTCAAATGTTGCCAGGGCGTCTAGAGGCTTCGGTCTTGCCTGGCGGCAAGAAGAGGCCCAAAAAGGTAAAAAAAAATTGCACAGCCACATTGCCATTACATAATCTCAAGCACACACGATTGGGGCAAATGTGGCTTGAACTTTCGCGAAATTGGTGTGCTCGAGCTGACACGTCCTGACAAACCGATCTGGAGAGCTCATTCAGGATGAATGACCTACAAAAACCCGCCACTTCGTATTATTGTCACTTGTCGCATTGTTACAAATACGAATTGGCCGGATAACCAGATTCGGCTTTGTGCGTACCACGAATGCATGCATGTGGTCATTGGCTTCCTCCACACCCAGATCTCACTATTCGTTTTGATGTTGATGTATACCCAAAGGAAGACTCACGCCTCGATTACTGAACCTGACAAAAGTTCGATTTGTTTGTCGGCAGTCTCTTTATTTTGAAACTAGCGTTAAATGGTATGTTAGTCCTTCGCAGTGTAGCAGGTGCAGGTGACTACATCGAGATTGTTTTGAGACTGGGTCCCACAACCAGAACCGTCGTGTCGCGTGCATTTCTTCAGGATGGATGTCTTTGTCTGGAATTGTTTGAGGATCTAATCTTTCTCTGTGCTTCCTTATTGTGAACTTTCAGTGCTAATTTTCGCACGTTATTTTCAACGTAAGATTCACGCAACGCATTGCCGTGTATCCAGTTACATTCAGCTTGTACAAGAAAAGAACATAATTAGCCTTGGGAGAGCCTTAGTAGCAATGGCGACTCAGAAGCAGGGCACGTGTACATAAGGTAGGTGTGTACTCCGTACAGAAGTTGCACTGCATAGCTTGCCGAAGAAAGAACTTCCTCATGGCAATGCTTCCGTCGAAATTCGAACTGGTACAAGTAAATCAAGACACGGACAGTCTGTTCGCCGGAAACATGCTGAAAATAATGACTGAACGGAGGCCTTGGCTAAAATATTGTCAATGATCACTGTTCGTCGTTTTCCCTTCCCTCCTTTTGACTTCGAAGCGCTGCTTAAGCAAAGGCCTGCACGCCCGTGATCGCACGGCCAATGATTAGGCTATGGATGTCGCTCTGCCCCTCGTACGTCTGGGCCACAAACAGATTAGCCACATGCCGGCCGATGCCATACTCATCGCTCACCGCGTTGCCACCAAAGATCTCTTGCAGCGCGCGCGCGCCGTGCAGCGCCCTGTCACAGTTTTGGCGCTTGATCATGCTGATCATGTCGGGCAGCCCGGAGGCGGCGTCACCACCGGCATCCTTGACGCGGCCGACTTGGATGGCGGCCAGAGTACCAAACGCGGCATCCGTAGCGGCGTCCGCCAGCTTCTTCTGGATCAGCTGGTACCGTGCAAGCGGGTTACCACGGAACTGCTTGCGATCCAGCGCGTACGTGCGGGCCCGGCTAATACAGTCCTCGAGCGCGCCCATAACGCCCATAGCAATGCCGTAGCGGGCCTGGTTGAGGCAGCCAAATGGGCCGCGCAGACCCTCGGCGTGAGGTAGCATGTTCTCGGCAGGCACGGGACAGTTGTCGAGATGAATCATGCCTGTGATGCTGGCGCGCAGGCCGAGCTTGTTCTTGATGGCGGGCGTCTCGAGCGTGCCAGCCGGTGCGTCCTTGCGCTCAACCAAAAAGCCGCGGATTACCTTCTTAGGGGAGCCGTCCTTGGCCAGGCCTTTGGAGGGGTCTGCCACCTTGGCCCAGACCAACAATACATCGGCAATCGGGCTGTTGGTGATCCAAGTTTTGGACCCGCTCAGGTTGTAGTAGCCCTTCTTGGTCGGGTGCTCAACTGCCACCATCTCGAGAGAGCCAGGATCACTGCCATGGTTGGGCTCGGTCAGTCCAAAGGCGCCCAGAATCTTGCCTTGAGCCATACCGGGAAGGAAGCGCTCCTTCTGTTCCTCGTTACCAAACTCATTGATGCCGCCCATGACCAAGCTGGACTGCACGCTCATGCCCGAGCGGTAACCAGAGTCGACGCGCTCAACAGCCTTGGTGATGAGGCCACCGGCCACGGTCGAGACGCCAGCACAGCCATATCCCTTGATGGTGGCACCGAGCAGGCCCAACTGGCCCATCTCCTCCAGCTGGGACTTGTCGTAGTTCTCATTGCGATATGCCTCTACAAAGGGACGAGATGCATTGTTAGCTTAACGTACGTTCCTGACAGTAGTCTGCAGTCGTCTGCAATTGTGCAGATAATTGTGCTGTAATTGCGAGTAAATGGACGAGAATAAGCCAAAAATCACCAAAACATGATGGCAAAGTGGGAGCTTCAACAGGGAGATGGAAGACCCAAAGAAAGAATTAAGGGCTGCGTAGCATAACAAAGAGCCACGACATGACAGCTGCCGTCTGTAGGCTATGGTCTTCTCAGGGAGGATTGTGAGGTGAGGGAGATGGGGGAAATTAACAAGGGAGTTTTCTTCTGCAACAATAACAGGCTGAAGAATTTCGCCCCTCCCTTGACCCAATTCATAGAAACCTTACCTTCCAGGCGAGGTAATAGCTGCTCCTGACAGTAACGCTCTGCTGTTTCTGAAATCGCTCTCTCATCTTCTGTGAGAAGGCTCTTGGACGAGAGAGGATCTTGCCAATCGAATGTTGTCGCGGCAGGGGTAGAGTATGCGCGGCGCGACACGGCGGGAGTTAGGCTCAAAAGCTGACTGCCCAGGCGACGGCAGATGTGTCTAGACATTGTGGAGGGTGTGGGAAATAGGTGACATGAATTGGAGGGGATAGAAATGTAGTTGAGCGATATGAGATGTAAAGCCTTCTGATCTGCTAAAAACTTTTGGGAAGGTGCTGGTCGATGCCCTTTAAGTGATGTCAATGGCAGTTGCACTCGGTCTTGTGTCCGAAGATAGGCAGATGATTAGCGGCGAATTATCCGAACGAGTGCCGATTCGGAAGGAACTCGAGGTGATTCTTCGGAAGGCTAAAGGGCTGCTTGAGCGCTGGGTGGCCATGGCGTATTACAGTATTAGACTTGCTGGGGCAAGCACCTTTGCAGCGTGATTGACCAGGTTATTGTCTTGTTTTAGCAGGGGGTTCAGTCAAGTCAGCGGTGCAATTGCGGGGGAGGTACCGCTGAAAAAGTGGGCGCAAAACAACTGGTCTGGCGCCTGTTGTATTTTGTATTTTTCTTTTCCCGCATTTACTTTCCCCAAATGGCAGTTGCGTCCCGCCTTGCCACTTTCACGTCCATTTTGGGTAATTTTATCCTCCATCACAGAGGTGAATTGATGCAAGAGCATCGTGCCCCTTTTTCTCTATCCAGTATCATTTCATCCTCTCGGCCACTGACGCTGACACTCCACCCGACGTACCATTTCATACTGCTTCCGTTGTTCTTGTTGCGCATTTTCGCCTCAATTCCGATCGAGTCGCCAATAAAAACGATTGTCGGGACGACCCTTGATGGCGTTCATACGCGGGCACTTGGCTGAGGGAAAGAAGAAAAGAGCGTTTATGTATGCTTTTGACAGATCACTGTTAGCTGCTTCATTCCAAAGCCGCCTAGCGAGGAGAAGGGATGCCTGACAACTCTCCGTAAGGCGACATGAAGACAGCTTCTGAGAAACGCCCGGCACTCAATACGAAACCTGACGAGGAATTGGGACGTTGAACAAAGAGACATATGACGGGCGGACGAGGTTTACAAAGAACGAGATTCGGGCTCCCAACACTGCCGGCCTGGGCATCGATCTACTCGACCTCGTGGGTTATCGATTCTCAGTTCCATTCTTGTCACATCCCTCCCAATCTGGAAATGCGCAACAGGAATGTGCCACACACTGAACTGGCAGGTGTTTGGCCCATTGGCTAATGGGAGAAACTGTAGACCACAGAAAACCAGGCTACACAGGGTCAGATCAAATTGTCGGTCTCGCTGTGCACGATGCGTTGGGCCGAATTCCAGAGCCTCGCGCCATCGGCCACTAGACCAGCTTGGCAGGCCTTTGCAGTCCCTGTCCCTCCCTCCAGCCCCTTGCTGCTTTGCGTTCTTGGGCGACCTCGCCGCTCGGATCTTTGCCGATCCAGCCTCTGCGAGGACAAGCAGCACACCGTTGTCGCTGTGGAATGCAAATGTCTTAAGCCACCTGAGAAAAAGAGGCAGGATACGTCGTACACGCAGTACGCACTCTGCGCGTGGCACGCAGCCAGCCCCTGGGTACGGACCAAAACGGCATAGTCCAGGAACGCCTAGGAAAAGAAGAGGTTATTTGGGTCTGTTAGAAGCGTTGGGAGTGCCGACAGGTCCCTGATGTGCGGATCTTCCCTATTTCACCAACAGCTCAGTGGCTGCACCCGTTTTTTTGCTGCTCATCTTGCCCTTACCCGCCCTATTCTGTCCGTCTTTGCTTCCTCTGCATTCCCGAGTTTGTCTATCTTCCCCCAGTTATCGACTGGTCTGACCAACCAGAAGCTGTCTTTGACACTTTTTCGGCTCTCCGTACATCCTATCCAGCGATAGACTGGTGATGGCAGACTTTTTTTGCATTCTTCATCGTGGCCCCTGTGTTCTGCAGTGCATTATGGACTAGTGGTCGCTGCCAAAGGTCCTGTTCGTCAAGGCAGCCAGCAGGCCACTTTCCTGCGCCTCACATCAGCCGACTCTCGCCTAAGTATGCTGTTTTCTCGCTTTGTCTCTCCCAGAAGAGACATCACACGATGGGCCGAGAGCTCGCGCTTGTGATGCCCATGTCGTCGTTACGTACCTTCTGCTTCACCCCACACACGTACCTGTTCCTGACGATCTAGCTTCCTTTTCGCCGGACGGAAAAAGCAAAAAAGAAGGAGGTTGACGTGACAGAAATGGATCGACTCTGACGCAAGAGACCCAGGACACACTTGGCAGTAGACCAAGAGGCTCAGAAATGCAGCCGTTTAAGGGGTGGCAGGTCAAAGGTTTAATGGATTTTGTTCAGGAACGCTGCATCCTCAGTCTTGTGAGGAGATGCCGTAATGCATATAGATTCCAAGCTTCTCCCTCATCTCCTTCATCCCTCTCCCCCTTCCTTCTTTCTTTTGATTTTTTTTTTCTTTGGGTACTTTTCACTTTTCTCGGCTGGCCATATCATATTCGGAGATTCTGTTTGTTCACTCCTTGTCTTATGATCGATCTGGGGTGGCATCCGGTTTCCAATATAATACGCCATCCTGCCATCGCCAACTACCGAAACCAGATTTCCTTCTTCATCCTCATTCTCGCTTCCACTCCTTTTGATACCACGCGCATTATTTGTCGACTCCATTTCAACTGCAACTTCCTTTCTTTCCACAATCCTTACTTGCCGTTACATCCACCTCATCTTGAACGTCCCGCGTTCCTCACTTGATAGGTCGCCGTACGTCTCTACGACGCTATTACTCATCCTCTTCGACACACGCCAGGAAACCTTGAACCTGCAGCTATGGCTCTGTCCTTCCGCTCTCTGCTCAAAGTGGCAACTGCCACAGCCCTCCTGGCCATTCCTCGTGGTGTCCTGGCTGATACCTCGCTCGGCTGCGTTGCTGTCAGCTCAACCTTCCCGACTATGGTGTCTGCCGTTGACAACAGCCCAGATACTTGCAAGGCTACTTGCTCCAAGGGTGGCTACTCTTACTACGGCGTGTCCCAACAGTGAGTCCTTCACTCTCTTTCCTACTCTCGGCTTTTCTCATGATTTTTTCCCCCCCTTCTCTTCTCCTTTCCTACTCTTGCCTCAAAGCCCAACCTAACCCAACAACCCCTTACAGATTCTGTGTGTGCTCCAAGACCATGCCCACCATCTCAAAGACGTACGAGTCCTCGGCTTGCAACTTTGCTTGCTCTGCACCCAACCAGGCGCAGATGTGTGGCGGCGAAGATACCTCCACATTCCAGTTCCTTTACAATCTCTATGAGATAGGCGGTGGCAGCGGTAGCAGCGCAGCTTCTGCGGCTAGCTCAACGGCGCCGTCCACGACTGGGACTCCTGCCACCCCCTCGTCTAGCGGCGCGAGCGCCAGCATTCCAGCCGATACCAGCAGCACGACGCCTGCAAGTAGCTCCACCGTTTCGTCGCCGACCGATGGCACGTCGATCACTGTGACGGGTTCTTCTGCCACATCGGGCTCTGCTGTGCACGGCATCCCGCAGTTGACGTCGACCACCGAGGAGACACGAGTTTTTATCTCGACGGTTGACTGCAGCTGCACGAAGAGTAGCGCGACGAAGGCGGGCAACACCTATGCCGTTGTGACGTCCACGACTGAGGTCATCGAGACCGTTTCCTGCAGTGGAGGTGAGACTAACCCAGGCAGCCAATGCACCAACAGCTTGATTACCAGCACCATCGTCCGCACCACCGCACTCCATAGCTCCAGCTCCGTAACTCTGCACTCGGCCCAGGCATCTGCATCCTCCATCCCTCCTGTGTCTCGGCCGAGCCCCATTTCCGTGTCCTCATCCATTCCGCCCATATCTCTGCCGAGTCCGATCTCGGTGTCCACGTCCGTCCCGCCCGTCTCTCTGCCGAGCCCCATCTCCGTCTCCAATCACTCTGCCTTCTCATCTTCTGAATCATCACGCTCCTTGCTATCCAGCAACTTCATCGAACCCAGTAGCTCCGTCCCCGGCAACAGCAGGACTCCTTCCACCACTAGTACCCCGTCAGGTTCTGGCTCCGGCATTAGTGCCGGCCAGGCCAACGGCGGTGGCCACACTAACAACGCTGTCCCCGGGTCCTCTGCACCCGCCAGCTCTACTCCTTCGTCTTCATCAGCAACGGTCTTGTCCTCGTCTCGTTCTCTCTCCTCACCCGTCCCCTCGTTGTCGTCCACTTCTCCCTCTTCTCCTACCTCTTCTATGGCGAGCAGTGTCTCGTCTTCCGCGACACATTTCCTCAACTCAACGTCCTCGTCTCTTTCCAAGTCTTCTTCCTCTTACCTCAACGCCACCTCTTCTCTTCCATCTCCCTCTTCCTCATTTGTCTCCGATGACGTGCCAGCACCTTCCTTGTCACCGGCATCAGCATCTGCACCGACATCTGCATCAACATATGCTCCCGAACAGCCACCTCCCGCACAATCTGCACCGCCTGTTGAGCCCTCGTCAATCTACTGCGACGATATTACTACGGAAGAAGTACTAATCACCGTTGTGCCCCTCTCTACAGCCGCCGCCATGTCGACGCATACGACGTCGTCGGCCGTCGTCGTCCCGCAGAACAACAACTACAACGGGCCCTACAGAAACACCACGATGGTCACAGCCAAGCCGGTCAGCCCGACCGTCTCGTCGACGTCGCCCCATGCGGGCGTCAGCAATAAGCCGGGTATGGTTGTGACGGCAGCAGGCTTGCGCACGTTTGACCAGGTGTCGCTGATGAGCAAGGAGTGGTACCTGACGCTCGCGGCCTTGACGGTGGCATTTATCCTGTTGTAATGTGGCTCTTTGTCTCTGCACAACAATAAAGGACACGAGCAACAAAACAGCAAAGCAACAAAACATCCGAAAATCACTTACAACGACAACAGCACCGTAAACTCACGAACCGTTTCCTTTGTCAAATCTGTCTATATTATACTCTTGTCCATTGCCTCATGGCCAGCATCAGTTTTGTCTTTTATTGCGTCTTTTTTCACTTTGGTTTACTCACCTTTCAAGGGCTACACACTGTTCTGCTTGCATTTTTGCTGTTCACGGAAAGGATGACCGGGATGCTGGGCATTTCGGGCTTTCCATTTTCTCTTGTATATCCTCTCTCGTTTCTTTGGCAAAATTAAGAAAATAAAGGAGAAGAGCAAAGAGCAGCTTTTGGAGCAACTGATTGCTTCGACTGGGTTCTTGGCGCAGGTGAGATAGCTCCTGCTCATGTACAAAGTATATTCTAATCTCGATTGTTCAATCAAAACTATATATCTACATTGTGGACTTCTTTTTGGATACCTTTTGATATTGATTTGGATATTCTTTTGACAAAAGTCAACGAGTCTTGCATATTGCTGCTCCGATGCCGCCACGACAGCCATGGCAGTCGGCTCCAAAATCTCACCGGATTACCGCCGCCGCGTTGTCTAAGCAATCGGGACGCCCTTATTTTGACGAATAGCGATCTAGCTTCGCCGCCATTATCATGGCCTCACTGGTAATGTGCTTGGCAAAAAGGTACCGACGGTCGAACACCCCGCCTTTGCTTCAAACCATAATTCGGTCTTGCCCTCATCTCTTCCCCGGCCGCAACAATTAGGTCTCATATTTTTTCTTCTGTTTTTGTTTGCACCAACGATTCCGGCTCACCAGACTTTGAAGATCGTCGTTTGCACGTCGCTTGTCTATTGTTCAGTTGGCATCCATGTTCAATTGACCGAACCTATCCGACGTTTGGCATCAACCAGGCGCAACAACCAGACCTTGTCTCATATTTACAATCTGTGCATCGCCTCCACCGCAACAACTCAACGTCTACATCGTCCGTCATCCACAAGATGAAGGTCACAGAAGTAAGTCGTCGTTTGCACGTACGTTCATCAGCGACGGTCCATCTAACCAAGCGCAGATCTACGTCTACCCCGTCAAGTCGCTGGGCGGCATTGCGCTGCCGGCGGCAGAGCTCGACGCGCAGGGGATCCGGTATGACCGGCGATTTATGCTGATGACGACTAAGCGGAGCAAGACTGGGGCGCTGCACAAGATGCAACTTTCGTCGTTTCCGGAGTGTGCATTGTTCTCGCAAGAGTTTGCCGCCGGCGAGGCCACCGCCGCCGGCGACAGCCAAAAGAAGAAAAGCACCAGCACCAAATCCAAAGCCACCGGGGACGTCGGTGACTCCGTCCTCATTCACTACCACCCGCCCGAGTCCAAGCTCGACGGCGCCGCTGTCGACCGCACGGGCGCGGAAAAGCACCGCATCATCATGTCGCCCGTGCAGCATCCACCGCTGCGCGTCCCACTGAACCCGCCAATCCGTACCCTCAAGTCGCTTGACGTGAACTTGCACGGCAGTCCCGCGCGGGGGTACCGAATGGGCGACCCGTACGATGCATGGTTCAGTGCGTGTTTCGGGTTCGACGTGGTGCTGGTGTACATTGGTGACGGACAGCGCAAGGTGCTGGGCGAGACGCTCAAGACAGGGGTGAAGGTCCGGAATCAGAAGCGGGAGCCGAAGGCAGCGACGACGACGACACCTTGGGCCGCCTTAGTATCATTCCTAGTCTCCGCATGGCTGAGTTTGCTTGCGGTCCTCGGCATTCGAAAAAAAGCACCACCAGAGCAGGACGAGCCGTGGCTGGCGTTCTCGGACTGCGCGCCGTTTCTGGTGACGTCCCAGTCGTCGCTGCGCAATGTGCGGGCGCGCATGTCCGAAGGCGTCGACGTGCCCATGTACAAATTCCGGCCCAACATTGTGGTGGACGGCGACGGCGAGGCGGAGTGGGCCGAGGACTACTGGGGCGAGTTGACCGTGCGGCCGCTGTCCAAGATGGACCCGACGGCCTCCTCCGTGTCGGAGGTGCCTTCGCTCACAGCCTCCTCGTCCCGCTCCTCCCGCGCCAGCTCGCCAGCGGAATTGGATGGGGCCGAGGATGGCGCCAGCAGCCCTGTGGGCGCCGGATCTGGACCCGTCCGCCTGGTCCTTACTAGCAACTGCACTCGCTGCACATCGCTTAATGTGGACTACAAGACGGGCGCGCGGGCGGCCGGCGAGCTCGGCGAGGTGCTGGGCCGGCTCGCCAAGGACCGGCGCGTGGACCGGGGCAACAAGTACTCGCCCGTGTTTGGGCGGTATGCGTTTTTGGACCCGCAGGGCAGCGAGGGCGGAGGCGAGGGCGAAGGCGACGACAAGGACGAAGACATTGTGCGGATCGCCGTGGGAGACGCGGTGGCGGTGACACGGAGGAATGCAGAGCGGACGGTTTGGGACTGGCCCGACTTGTAAAAGGGCGGCGGAAGATGGCAGCATGGTTCAGAGTGAATAGTCAGGTAATTGCAGCGTCCAATGTCAACTCATAGTCTAGCTTGTGTTGCCCATTCTCTTGCCTTGCCAGTCAAAGAGTGTCCGACATTTTTGACAAGATCGATTTAACACCGTCCACCAGCCTGTCACGCAGATCGTTGGCCCCCGAAGCACTTGCACGCCTTTGGTCTCTTATTTGAGTGTGTGAACCGGGCTCATGGAATGTCGTCGGTTCCACCGCTGGCGACGTTTGCAGGAGTAGTGGTGCGGCTGGAACGACAGCAACGCTCGATTCCTTTGCTGTTGCTGTGTTGTTAGTTTTGATAGTCCGTAAAAAATACGGAGGCGAGAAGAACGTACAAATCATACGAATATTGCCTGCGCCGCCGATGCCAAAAGACTGCCGTCGTTGCGTATCACGGACGACTGTTCGATTCTGGTGATTCTGGTGATTCTGGGGACTCTGGTTTTGATTATGACCCAGACTGTGACCGTGGGTTGTCGCTCTGGAGTGCCCGGCGTCCACGTTCACGCAGTCGCGGAATGGCACGGGCCCAGGCCCAATGTTGCTGTACGCCGGCGGTGGATCATCATCGTCTTGGTCTTCCGGGAAGGGCGTGAAATTGTCCACGGCCATGATGCGAGGCGATTAAATATCGGGAATAAATAAACCAAGGGGAAACGTTAAAAACAACGCACAGGAAGCCTATACAATGGAGTAAGCCAAGCGTCCTGGCCTCACAACAACAATTAAACTTTCTCTTGGCAACGGAACGAGAGGGACAGAAGCTCCCGGATGCCAAGACATTTAACGGCACTGGAGCCTCTTTATTTGGTTTATTTGGTTCCATTCTGGGGCCTGGTCATGTACCCCAGATTTTGGGGGGAGTGGATTGTTATCGGGGCTCTGCATGTTTTGTCTAGACGTTTGTCTAGACGCTCATGATTCCATACCATGGTCTATCTGCTCCCAGGCCAAAGGAGAAAATCATTGCAACTCAAAAGACCACGACGACCGAGAACGATCTTGCTTGCCGAAGAGGGAAATGGTAGCATGACCACACCGCTTGCCTCGTTGTTGGTCGGAAAGTCAACCAGAGATAACGCCAAGACTTGCGATTGGGCCAGAATTGGGGCACAAAACCACCGGCAACGTCTGCATCCCGGTGCTCATTCTGAGAGGAGAAGCATGCCTCTCGTCGCAAGATAAGAAAGCAATGTGGCTTGTCTGTGATATTTTGTGACAGGATGTGCTGACACAGGAAAACGAAACGGCTGACAAAATATGAAATTATACAAAATACAAAACATAGTGTCACATGACTGGCTTTTTGCCCTGCCCCCATCCGCCCGTCTCTCTCGTCGTCACCCCATCGGCCGGTTGTTTATACCAAAAGAGGCGAATTCAACCCGGTTATGCCATCGCGGACCAGCAAACACAGAAGACGGTTGACGGCATGCGGGCGAAGACTGATCTCACGTGCCGCTGGGTCCGCTCTGGTGTCTCGTATTCAGAACCTCTCTCTCTCTCTCGTCG